TTTGTATAGAAAGAAACGTCCCTCCTTCTGCTCACATAAATAATTAGATTTACTCTGTGCTTCAATCTGGACCACTGTTGTTTTTGTGCAAATACCATGCTGCAATATTACTTGCATTATATACAAGAATCAACATGTACCTACAATGTTAGATTAGTAGAGTGCAAAAGCTGAAATGAAGGGTTTCATTTAAAAACGAGATGCCTGCGACATGAACAATATGACACCTATATAAAGTTCGCAAAATCCCAGCGAGGTCTTCGAGCAGAGCACGGTTTTTCAATTTGGCACAAGTGGTTTGATGCATTTCTTCAAATAATGAGGGGGAAAAAAAGGTGTCAGTTTTTGGAATGAAACCCTTCAAGTCTTCTTTAGGGCTGGGTATTAAACTTACTGGTGCTTTCTCAGTTTTTTTGGGATTCAGGAAGAAAAACTACATCACTGATGATTTTTTTAGAGAAGCAGATAATGAAACAAATGTGGTGTTGAAGTGTATATACTTGATCAAGTGAAGAAAGGAAAGAAACAAAAATCAGTTTTACAAACTCTCCCATTTGTCAGAAGCATGAGCACCGGGTTTTTTCCTCTGATACCCAGCCCTCATATGTTAGCCTTGTTAGATCTTCCTGATCTCAGTTCTGTTGCTTACACTTTAAAGAACTGACCTAATGAGATGGCATTTTTGGTATAACGGCAGTTTAGCTGTTTTGAACAATGCGACACACACATTTTGTTTTGAAATTGATATTAACTGAAACCTCCTTGACCTGCTGAGTCATACATTATTTACAGTTTGGGCACAAGACATGTAACTTTTAATAAGTGATGAAACTTTTTACAACTGCACTGCATAACGACCTGTTCCGTCTGCCGCTGGTGCATATATTTGCTCTGCCGGCAAGACTTATCAAACAGCCCTGCCACTCCCGACAGGTTTGGAGTACACAAATATTCTAATGTTAGCCGGGCGGTGGGAGCCTGCACATCTGCCGAGTGCAGACGGGTAGTTCACCGCTCCCAGCGCCTACAGATTTCAGATAAGTTCTTGACCTTGTCTGTTCCTGTCCCAGCACCAGGCTGTAGGGTAGCTGTATAAATCATGTGTGTGTTGTAATGTACACCTCATGAGTCAAGGGGCTGGTAGAGGTGAAGAAAAGCCTAAAGGATGGCAGCTGTGCTCCCAGCTATGGAAGCTACAACTCTCCTTCCTGTCTGTTTTTTTCTTCTCCTTTTTTTCCCCAACCTTCTACATATTTTCTTATTTTGTCATGTATGCAATCTGCTTATTCTCCTCCGTCCCTCTCGTGAAGCATGTGATCTGTAGCTGCTTTTATTTCTCTGTTCCTTTCATCCTCCTTGCCCCTCTGTCGCACCCCTGGTCTCTCCACTCTAGCTCGCTCCTCTAGCCCAGCTTGTATTGTCATACAGCGTGTCTGTTACCGACTCTGTTGCAGTGGCATTCAGTCCTGAGCTTTGGGACCCGCGGCGCTGCTGATTTTCATTCCAGTTTTCTAGTTGGGAAGTAATTTTACACATGGTAAATGCAATTAACTACCTGGTAGGATAGACAGGCGGCAGTAATGTGGCTCCTGAGGACTCGGGACTGAAAAACCGCAGCTGTAATGCGATCTAAACATTCCCTGCTCGGTTTGTTTACAGGTGGAGGGGAACAATGTTTTGTCGCTGGCTGACCTCTTAAGAAATTCTATTTACATCCCGCATCTATGCATGCATCATAATTTAGCTGAGGGCATGTGAAACGTCTTAGGAGAGTGTTTAACCCCGTTTCCACTGCCCACTCAGGTGTTATTTTTTTCCACACACAGCTGCGCTCATTTCCACTGTGTTTGAATTTAAAACTTGCCACAGAGGGACGCTGCTGTTTAATGTCATATGTCAATGCCTGAAAACACAAGACAGCAGTTGAAATGTGGCGTGGGCCTGTCTTATGTGAAGACATTTTTCCTTTTCAGATTAAAAGAATAAACTGTTAGGAAACCAGAATCGGCAAAAGTGGTACCTCTAAATATCTTTTTCTTTTCACCTAGCTGCATGTTGCAGATTTAAGACACTACAGGCATTTGAGTAATTTATTGTTTTGTTTTGGGTATTTTTGCCTTATTTATCTGTTTATCACCATAGGAGCAGTTTAATAAGAAGTGTCTTGGCACTAATAAATAAAGATATCAGTGAAGATAATAACCACAACAGACATTACAGTAATAATAAAACTGTCCTTGTTAGAATTTTATTGAATTAAAGAGTTTTTATGCTGTCCTAGCTCTTCAATGTGCTTATTGTATTTAAATCATGTTTTGTTTTTTTTTCTTTTTGAATGAATAATTGTACATAAATTAGTGATTTGTCACAAACAGTTTGTGTTCTCATATGATCACTATTGATAACAGGGGTCAAATGTGTTGTTTGCTGTCACACAGAAGATTAAAATACAACAAAAACTGTTTTTTTTTTTGTTTGTTTTTTTGGTTTTTACATTAACGAGAGGTAATTAGAGGTTACTATTGGTTACACGCCAGAAAGCAAATGTGACAGTTTTAATAAGTGTGGAGGCCATTCTACTTTCTCTCTCCCTGCTTCAGCCTTTTGCTCCAGAAAGTGAACGATGATAATCTGTTAAAACTGCTTTTTCCTCTTCAGGTCCACATGTATGTCTTAAGTGTACAAAACTCTCGGGTAGACACGTGCTGTGAACCCCTCACCAGTTAGTCCACCAGTTTATTAAAAATAATCCACCCACACGGATGTGGAAGAAGAAAAAGAAACTCTTCAGAGTTTGCTTGATCCTTCTTTAAAGTTTAGGAATTTTATCTCTCTGACAAGGACTTCTTTTAAAGGACTAACTGGCAGTCGGTATGCTTTGCTGTATATGTTTACCCAAAGTATTTTTCTTCCCCCCCCACCCTCACATTTCTTTCTTCACATGAGAACTATTTTTTGTCCACTGTGTCCTTATTGTTAATATTTAATATAATTAAAATTGCCGAGTAAAGAAAAATGGTGGAATCTGTTACTGTTTTATGTTTTCATCCCATTTTCTATTATCAGCGGTGCAAAGTCAGTTGTATCTGAAGAAAGGCTGGGATGCACTTGAGCTGTGAGAATGAGTGATGGATTCTGCTTCCATTAAAAAGTGCATCTCAATAAAGCAATAAATCTCAGGGACCTAGGTTCCCTCTCTCAGACTGGGTAGACTGTGCTGCACAAATCTCTAAAGAAAAGAATGAATAAAATCAAAGACTGAAAGTAGAACATACAACAAAGCAATGAATAAAGAATCTTAGGGGCCATCGCTCGCCAAGATTGACTGAGGAAAAACTTTCCCAGCAACAACATTTGAGTGGACTTTTAAAGAGTTGTGCACGGCAGTGGGTGCAGACTGAAGTAATTCTACCTCATTTGACATCAGCCTCCAACCTATCTGGGTAAGTTTTCATTTGACAGTGACCGTAAAGTATGGAAGTGTTTAGAAAATCAATTACATTAGCACAAGTTTGTGTGTGTGTGTGTGTGTGTGGGGAATGTAGGCTTTTACTGTTTACCCCTTAGGGAGGACCTGTGCACGCTCCTCATTTCTGGACTCACTCAATTAGTGTTGGTAATGTTATGACTGGTTGAGGAGTATACATACACACACACACACACACAGAAGACAGCAGTTCTGATACTAACTTGCTGTAATTGATAGGACAGGAGGTCAGCACATCAGTAAACAGGCTACTGATTAACAGAGCTTTGAAGTCCAAAGAGCTCACATAATTGACAGGATGTGTATCTGTGCGGCTGCTGCTGCTGCTGAATCCTCCGGAGGCTGTGCAATAAGCCTTTCTGGTGTTTGATATTCAGTTCAAAAAATTTAGATGACTGATCTTACCGAAAAGCTGAAAATGAATCATCAGCTAATATTGACAACTGATAACCCCTTAAATATGTTTTGCTTGTTTTCTTAGCCATGTGCCAAAGCACACAAATCTAAGACACTTGTATTCTGATCAATTATCCTTTGTGTGTGTGTGTGTGTGTGTGTGTGTGTGTGTGTGTGTGTGTGTTCCTGACAGCAAGAATGTTCATTCCTGTTGGCGGGCAGTCTTTCTGTGTGGACTTCTCTCTTAGACTGCGTGGGTTTCTTTTAGGTACTCCACTTTCCTCCCACGTATGCATTTCTGTGTGCGGAAATGGGCTGTAGGTATGCATGTGGGCATGAATGGCTGTCTGTCTCTCTGTGTTGGCTCTCTGATGGACTGGTGATCTGTCCAGGCTGCAAACTGTCTGACGTAACACTAGTTGGATTAAGCTATTAGGAAAATATGGATTATAGTTGCATCAGGCTTATTAACATGATTAACATAAGATGTAAAAGTTAAACTATGGTTCCTGACATTCTTGTTGACTTCGCTCAAATTTTTCTGCAGTATTTGCACAAAAACATTAACATTATACAAAAACGTATAATATGATAGATGGCTTATAAAGAGTAGTCTAATGTAACTGAACCTTAACCTCTGATAAATGTGTCTTTTTAAAACATTTAAATGACTTCCATTCCATCCATCCATTTTCTTCTATTTATCCAGTTCAGGGTCACAGGGTGGTTCGAGCCTATCCCAATCTATCACAGGGCAAAGGTTGTTCATGAATTCGTTTATTCATTC